TCTGTGCAAAGCTCCTGTCCCCAAGGAGCTGGAGGGCACCATGCCGTTTGCATCTGAGGCCTCGCTGGACCCCTTGTTCTCTCAGGACTGACTACCATTTGGGAGCAGAGGCTGTCCCACCCTAAGGACCTCATGAGCAGGTGGTTAGGCGGTGTTTGATGACTGAGACCTGTCCTGTGACTTCCCCTGCTTCTAAGGGAGGGATGCTGAGGTACCCATTGGCTTCCGCGGTGACTTCATGCCTTTGCCAGTCCACAGATGTTTGGTGGACATAGGTGCCAGGGAACACACGTGGTCCCTGGTGCCGCCTCAGATCTGAGGAGCCTCACGGGGCAGGGTGGGGACATCAGTGTATGTGGGCTGCAGGGACCAAATCCTGAAGGTGGAGCTTGTGTCCTCAAAGGAGGCCAGAAGTCCCAGATGGAGCCCTGGCTGTGCCGCTGTCAGGGGAGGGAGGCCGCATGCTGAACTCAGGTGACCAATGTCTCTCTGCATCCTCACATGGCGGGCAGTAGCGGAGAGAAGAGAAGAAGGCTATGTCTGCGGTCTCTTCTCAGGAGAACACCAGGCCAGTGAGATCCATACCGAGCTCTTGCTTTTGGAGGTACTGGAGTGGAACTCAGGGCCTTGCACATCTAAGCAAGTGCTCTACCGCTGAGCACATCCCCAAACCCTGTTCCCTGGCTTCTTTCGTTACTGGGGGTTAAACCCAGGGTTTTCACACGGAGCTACACCCCCAGCCCTTCTTTAAAAAACAAAACAAAGACAAAAACAAATATATAGAGAGAGACTTGTAATCCTCTTGACTCAGCCTCCAGAGTGTCTGGGATTCTGGGGCATGTACTACCACGACCAGGAAGAACCTGGCTTCATGTAACCTTAATTACTTCCTTAGATACCTCATCCTCAAGCCATTTTGGGGCTTAAGGCTTCAATATGTGATTTTTTTTTTGGTTTGATGGTGGGGAACAAATAATCAGTCCATAGTGGTGGAGGAGATACACAAAGAAAGATGTAATTATCCTAAGGAGTATGGGTAAAAGTGTAAAATCAAGCTGGAGGAAGAGAAGTCTCACTTCAGGGCGGGGTGGCTTAAACTGGGCTTTGTGGTAATATTTGTGATAGACAGAGGTCTTCATTGCGTTTTTCTTTGTAACTTTATGTACTGAGCATTTTACACTGTTTAAAAATACAGAAGGGGCCAGGAATGTAGCTCAGCAGCACAACACCTGCCTGGCAAGTGTGAGGTCATGAGTTCAATTCCTGGTATTAAAACAAACAAACAAACACAGAAGCCAAAGTTATAACACAAGGTAGTGAGAGCTAATGAGGGACAAACCTGAGATGTCAGTGGAACGCATAGGAGGATCACTGGACAGAGTCACAGCTGAGGGTGGCAGAGGCGACCCAGGTGCAGGGCAGGGGACAGTGCCCAGTGGTCAGAAGTGTAAAGGATCTGGAAGTTGTGCAAAGTCAGTCTTGGACACATTGCCTAACCTCTGTCTTGCTCAGTTTGGGCATTCAGGGGGCAAGAGAGCCACGCTTTCATGGGTAATGGAGCCTCAGGGCCGGATCTCTGGCCTTTGCTACCCACTCGGTGGGCAGCTTGAGCCTGGCTCCTGGGGTGTCTTTGATTTTTGCTACATATTTGAAATGAAGTGCTTTCTGCTGCTGCAGTGTGGAAAAGAAATGGTAGACAAAGAATTTCTCAGTTGTCTGTTCTCTAGTACTGGCCATCTGTGCATCCATCATCTACCTGTCCATCCACTACCCATCATCCGTCCATCATTCCTCCATCGATCCATCATCCATCTATCACCCATCCATCCACCCATCATCCATCCATCCCTTCATCCATCCATCCATCCATCCATCCATCCATCCATCCATCCATCACATCCATTTGCCTACTCTCTGAGCTTTCCAGCTACTGGAAAACACCACCTCCACATTTCTATGGGGCTTCTCTGTCTCCAGCACATCCTAGTGTCTGAGCTCATTCAGGGCCGCCCTTTTTAATAGGTTCCCATTCTGTGACTGAAGACACTAAGATTTGAAACAGAAGTGACGTGACCTTTGATTCCAAGCTGAGGGACTTTTCCAGAGATGTCAAGGGCCTGGTGTGAAGGGCTTGGGGCTGGCTGCCCGGCCTGGGGAAGGTGCCCTTAGACATGGTTCTCGGCACTGTGCCCTGTTCTGTGGGGCTACACACACTGCTGGCCTTTGGGGAAGTCCTGTCCGTGAGCAGAAATTTCTGAGAACAAGCAGGGAGCAGGGCCTGGAAGTCACCTTCTAAATCATGCTCGGCTTCTTGCATGACAGAGGAACACTTAGCTTGTTATAAACTCAGCCTCTTGCTACCATAAGAGTCCTAGCACCTAGGAGGCTGAGGCAGAGGGTCACAAATTCAAGCCCAGTCCAGGCAATTTAGTGACTTAGGCCCCATCTCAAAAGAAAAAAGAACAAGGAGCTGGTTTAAAGGCTCAAGGAAGAAGGGAAGGGGAGAAGGAGGGGAAAGGGGTGAGTCTCGAGGCCCTGGAGAAGGCCCTGAGCTGAAGATATGGCCAAGGGGCCAGGCAGTGTCCTCTGGAGGGTGCCCCGAGCCTGGTCCCAACACACTTTCTTTGCCTCACCCCCAACAGCTTCCAGCCCTTCAGGCTTCTGGTCCTGCTCTGTTTTCTTTTACTTGGGAACCAGTGGTCCCTGTGGAGCCAGCTCGGCTGCCTGGCCATGCCGGGGACCCCAGCAGGCAGAGTGGGTATGAATTTCGGGATGCCCCAAAGTGGAGAAAGGCTCAGCTTTGAACCTGCCTCAGATTTTCTCACCCTAAGACCTAAGTGGCAGCTCTTGGCCGTGCAGCGGCTGGGAATGACATTCGAGGAGACTGTGGTCTCTCTGGCTCAGAGCCTTTCGGGGCTGGAGGAGAGCGGCGGTGTGGGTGAGGGGTTCACAGGCCTCGGGAAGAAGAAAGGAGAGGCTGGCTGAGCAGGCCACCCCCCCCCCCCCCGCCATGGGTCACCCCAGTACCTGTGCCCCAGTCGCACGGCGGTTTCCTGCCCTGGCCAGTACACGTGAGAACCCAATGGCTTCGTGTTGGCAGGGAGATGCTTCCTGTTTTGCGCTGTGGAGCTCCCCACTGGGCACGGTGAGCAGAGTGTGCGGTTTGCATGTCTGTGTTTTTTGAGTTGCCAGGATCCCCAGAGGGTGGCGGGGCCCAGGGTAGGTGAGAGGAGCAGTGGGCAGCTGGTTTTCTTTTTGCAAAACCGCTCAGCATCTCTTCCTGCCCCTCTGTTTTGGATACCTGGAGAGGACTCCTCCTGTGCCCAGCAGCTCAGAGCCCAGCCCTGGTGCGTGGCTGTAGGCTGTCCTAGATCTCTCCCCGTGCAGTATCTTTGATGGTGACCTTTATCATGGCAAGGTGGAAAGGTAACCACAATTCTGGACCAAAATCCCCTCCCTGGCGAAGCGGGTCGGAGATGATGGGGCAGACAGGTCTCCTGGCCAGGGAGGGGGTAGAAACACACATATCTGCTCCCCAGCCCAGCTGCCCTCCCTTGGGCAGGCTGTACACTGCACAGCTGGAGTCACACACATTTTGGGTCCTAGACAGCCCAGGTGTCCCTGCCGAGCCTGGGACAGCTGCTGCTGAGTGACAGACAGCAGGAGCTTCCAGAGTGAGGCAGGATGAGAGCCAGTGTGCTCTCACCGAATCGCAGGGTCGTGGTGCCCATTCCAGAGGAGGAAAATAGAGCCGGGGCTGGAGAAGCCCAGGGCTTTCTCAGAGGAGATTCCTAGAAGTCCCCTTCTCTGTCCCCTGCACCACACTGGTTGAACTGGGAGCTCAATTACGCAGCTGCTGGAAGCCCTGGGTCAAACTCTTCTGCTGCCCCCACCCCAGCGAGGATGGCAGCACCGGGAGGCCCAATGTCCAGGCAGCACCACCCCTGGGCCACTCTGCACCTGCATTTCTGTTCCAGGCAGCTGTGTTAGATAGAAATATTCTAGGCAGTCAGACAGGGCTGCACCCTCAAAGGAGCCAGTGCAGAAGCCCAGATACCTTGTTATGGTGGGGGAGGCAGGCATCTCCCACTGTTGGCCAGGCCCCAAGACAAAGGGCAAAGCAAAGCACCCATACTCTCAAGTACAAACAGCAGGGATTGCCTTGAGGGGGCCAGGAGGAGCCACTAATCCAACCCCTCACCATGCATGCCCGCTTGCTATGGGACTTGCCTCCCCACTGGATTCGATTTAATCAGTTATACACATGTAATCTCACAGGTTGGCCACAGTTCTGCCCTGCCTCTTAGCTACCCTGTGAGTTCCCAGTTTTCCCCACCTTGGACTCCTCTCACCCCATGATTTTACTCCATAAAAGTCCCTAGAAAAGACAGAGTCCCTGACAACTGCTCGGAACCCCTTCTGTCTCTCTTTCAGACAGAAGCTTTCTTTCTCTTAATAAATACATTCTGCTCTTAATCTCTGTTGTTCCTAAAATTCATTGTTGGATTTTAGAGAACACAAACTCTTATCAGACATCTAGTAGGTCAGGAGTTTCATTCCACTGTGGCACTTTTAACCAGTGGACAGGGGGCCCCAGGCCGAGTCCTGATCTTGAGGCTGGGAGTTTGAGACCCTAACTTCTCCTCAGGGTGGCAGGACAATGGCTAGGAAATTTATTCAAGAAAGGGTGACTCTTTTTTTTTTTTTTTTTGAGATAGGGTCTTGCTGGTTGGTCTAGGTTGGATTCGAACTCTCAGCAATCCTCCTGCCTCAGCGTCTCGAGTGCCGGGAGCCGAGATTATAGTTTGCATCACTCTTCTTAAGGTGACAGCCATAAACATGACAAATATCCACTGGAGTGACTCACTCTAAATGTCATCTCAAGAGAAGTTCATTTATATGCTTGAATACTTTTCCTTTTTAAAATCCTACTCCTTTTTTAAAATGTGGTTTTGAGCAAAAAAATTTTCATTACATAATTTATGCAAGGCATCATTTACATGTAGTAAAATCCACCCACTCTAGTGTGCAGTTCCAGGTTTTCTTTCAAAAACAGCTCCTGTGACCGCCTTACCACCACCTCAGGAAACCTGGTCTTTCTCCGACTCCCTGCTTCCCTGCTGCCGGTGGAACTCCTCGTCCCTCAACCCTTTTCTTTCTTTCTTTCTTCTTTTTTTTTGGTCTTTTTCAGACAGATCTTACTATGCAGTTCAGGCTGGCCTTGAACTCCCAGAGATCCTCCTGCCTCAGCCTCCCGAGTGCTGGCATGACAGGTGAGCACCACCACACCTGGCTAGAAGTTGTTCAATGCAATAGTCTATTAGCTTGTTAGAGACCCAGGCTGGGGGCTTACAGTGAGCTCTGAGTTGGGATGTATGTAGATCATTGTATCCCTGCCTGAGCCTCACAGACATTCAAGGTAGACTCAGAATGAGCCTCCCCAGAGCAAGTTGTCAAAGTGCTCTGAATCCTGGGTGCCTGGGGACAGCCTGGGGATCCATTCCTGAGGAGGGGGCAGGGACAGGAGACACTATTGGGATGCTGACCTGGGTGCTTTCTCTCAAAGGATCTCATTTGAGTGTCCTCCTAGGTGGGGACTCTGCTGCCAGAGAGGAGGTGAGACACAGGGCTTAGAGACATTAACTGTCTTAGCGCCATGAAAGGGTCCTGCCTCAGCCTCACCCTCGGGATTCCTGAGGTCACTGAAATGGATTGGAATGAGCGGTGTGTCACTGCTTTTTTTTTTGAGGGGGGGACCCAAACCAAAGCAAACTGAATTTCCAGAACGTTGTCTGGTGGGTCCTGTTGTTCCAAAGCAGAGAGGGTCAGAAAATGAAGGAGGCTGGGCGCACAGGCCAGAAGAGACAAGGGTAGTGGTGCCTTCCTTTGTGGGCAGGAGGAGGGCGGGAGGAGGGGCGAGGGGGGGTTGCAGCTCAGCACAAAGGACGTGGGTTTCTGAGTCAGTCCTGGTTTCAAACCAAGTCCGATGCTCTCGATCCGACCAAGGCACCGAACCTCAGTTTCACTGTCTGTAAAAATATAACCCATAACAGTTCTCATCAAAGGGGAGAAGGGGAGTGAAATCAGCCAGGCACCTGGCCCAGCGGCTTCTGGATAGCGCTAGTTCCGTCCTCTCCTTCTCACGCTGACTGATTCACCCCAGCCCGTTTTGGGTTTTGGCATTTTGTAGATTTCTACAGCTGAGAAATCCAAAAATAATCTTGAATTATGATGGGCTTAGCGTTGAGGCTTGCTGGCAGGCACTTTTGGGTAAATAGCAGAAGTGAAAAAGAAGACAAAAAAATGAAAAAGCAAATTCATTTCTAGTGTTTGAAACAAAGAGTCCTCCCTCCCCCTGCCGCCACCCAGGGCTGAGGGGGCGGAGATGGAAAGGAGGGAAGGTTGGGTATTTTTTCTTCATTGTTTTTGTTTTTGTTCTGTGATGATGTGGGGGACTCTCCAGGGATATCATGTGGCACAGAGTGGGGCAGAGGGTGGGTGACAGGCAGGGCCTGGAGGGAAATTTCACCCCAGCTCTGACGTGAGAGGGCAGAAGTGGGGGACGGGTACCTTTCTACCTCACGCTCTCAAGCACATGGGCGGGGGGGGGGGGGCAGGTTCCTCAATTCATCTTTCAATGAGTTTCTAAAGAAAGGCCACCTTTGGGGACGGTGTGATTCCTGAAAGGCTGGAGCTGCAGAGGCAAGGTTTCGAGGGTGTGTGTTTGTGGGTCCCGGAGTCTCACGAAAAGAGAAGTCAGGGGCCAGGCCAGCTTGGCCAGCGGCCTGTGCCAACGTCATGGGTTGTTATTATTTTTAACAAAGTGCCTCCCTACTTTCCAGTCTCATTTTTAATGGTCCTCCCATCTACGTGTCTTGGTCACTTCCCTCGTGGCTGGGATGCAAGACTTGACACCCACAATTTAAGAGCGGCCAGGTGTCTTCTGACTCACATTTCAATCCACCATCCACCCTGTGAGGCAGGATGATATGGCAAAGGGGCCTGGCGGAGGAGAGTGGCTCACCTAGTGGAGGACAGAAAGCCGAGTCCAGGGAGGAGACAGGAAGGGAGCTAAACCCTTCCGGGTCACGCCCACAATGACCCAATCACCTCCAAAGACAATCAGCCAGGAAGGGAGATAAACCCTTCTGGGTCATGCCCACAATGACCCAATCCCACCTCTAAAGACAATCAACCAGGAGGGGAGCTAAACCCTTCCAGGTCAAGCCCATAATTACCATCCCGCCTCCAAAGACAAGCAGCTATGAGCCCCACAGTCCAGTCTCCCAAAGGGCTCCCCCCCCACGGGGGGGAATTGCGTGATCCTCAGGGGACATCTAGAAATAAACGTAACACTCAGCTTTCTTTGCAGGCTCAGCAAGGTGAAGTGACTCTCCCAGGGTCTAGGGCTGGCATTGGCCACTGGAGCCTGGGGGAGCCAGGCTGCCCTGACTTTTGCCCTGTGATACCCAACTCATCCGTGAACACACAGATGCCTTGGCCTACAGCCGCTGTGGACAATCCAAGCTCGCCTGTGGCTGTCAGAGATACCTGGGATCCGGAAGTTGAGCTGCAATAAGAGGCTGCTGGATAGATCCGGGGAAGAACTTTTGTTTTCAAATGGTAGCAAAAATAGGGATGACAGCTACAGACTTAGATAAATAAATTGTATTTTCTACACTTCTTAGCAAACCATAGAGCACACCATACCATGATGATGGATAGTGAGTGAACATTTGCTTATCAAATAATAAAAGTGACAGAGAGCTAATAACACAATAGGACACGGAGCATGACTCTGAGTTTAGTGGAAAGTGAGGCTCCCCTCATGGAAGGAAGTTCAGGAACACAGACACCTGAACGCTTGAACCCTGTGACTTCTGGTAATGGAGCTTTAGGGGAGGCTCTTTTTTTTTTTTTTTTTTTTTTTCTTTTTTCTGGATTTCCTTAATTTTCTGTAAGGTTCATGCCTTACATTTTGAACACAGAAAAACGTTTTTAAGCACGTTGAGTCAGTTCTGTAGGTAAAGTACTTGGTCTTTAAATTTTGAGCACCCGAGAACGCAGATCAACATCCAGGGTGTCAGCCTGGAAAAGCTGCCAGAGCCTTTGGGTAAGGGGGTGGGGGTGGGGGGTGGGAATCTCAAACCCGGCTCACTTTCCAGTCACTGTGGACCTTCGAGTCACCTGAGGGTTTCCAGAGCTCCCCATCCCATCCAAGGCCCACTGGTGAGCATCCCCCATGGCAGCCCCCTGTGTCTGAGGATGCCAAAGTGACCCCAGTGGTGCACGGCCAAGTCCAGGAACCGCTTCTTTGGAGCTGGACTGTTCAAAATAAAAGCCACCACCCAGTGTGGCCACTCAACTGTCATTCAAATTAAATGAGATTCTGTAAAACAGCTCCGTGGCTGTGGACACCACCTTTTAAGCCCTGGGCTGTAGTCTGTTGGCAGCGGCTGCCATGTGGCATGGAGGAGATGGAGACCAACCTGACCAGAGGGAGCAGGGCAGTCCTGGCCTGCGCTGTGCTCCTTCAGGCAGGCTCCCTCTTCTCGCCTGCTCCGGGGCCGCTGGGCTGAGCTGTGTGGTGGCTTTCAGCAGAGCCGCTGTGTGCCTGGAAGGTTCTTTCTGCTTTCTTTTGTCAGCCCTGTCCTCCTCCCTGACCTGGGGGAGGTGTTTATGTCATGTGTTTATTTTTATGGTCTCCAAGGCCCAGGTCCTCGCTAGCCGTGCAGCCCGGCCAGGCTCCAGTGGGCTGTTTACGTGGATCCAGGCTTAGAGGAGAGCAGGCCCGGCCAAGTGTTTTCCACACTGCTGCGAGCTGAGAAAGAGGAGCAGAATAACAAAAAGCCACTTCAAAACACCAGCCAAAGACACAAAGCAGAGCCAGCAGAGGTTTCGGGTACACTCTGACATACACACCCCCAAAACCCCGACGACGACAGGAGAACAAAAACAAGTCTCGAGGGAGGCCCTGGCCTGCAGGTTTTGAGATTGTCACAGTCGATGACTTGAGCTGGGGCCTGTCCCCGCAGTTCCGAGAGGAGCTGGGAGCCGAGCTTGTGGGGGCTCAGAAACCTCACCTGCTCTTTGAGAACTGGGGGCCTGGCTGGGGGACAGTCCCCAAGTGCTCCCTGTCTCTGGGAAGATGACATGGGTCCTTCTGCAGAAGGAAGGGTAGGGCCAGACTGCAGGGCGGGGGAGTGGGCTCCCAGCCTGAAGACTGGCATGGATGAGGGAGCTGAGGCCCATTGGGGCCCAGGTGTTACCTATCTCTTTATGTCCAGAGACATAAAGAAGGTCGCCCGAGTACTTGTGTCTCCTCTTTTAGGGACCTGAAGCCAAAGATGTAACCACGAAGAGGCCGATCCAGCACAGAAGGCCCGGTGCCCCTCCCCGTCACTGCACCTTGACTCCCAGTCACCCCAGTTGGGTGGTAAAATGCAGTGAGGGAGCCTGGAAATGGGGGACCTGGGCTCAGACCCTGAGTGCTGGCCTGGCTGCAGTGTAACCTGAAGCAGGTCACGTTCGCCTTCGCTTGGTACTTTGCCTGGCAAACTGCCACTGTGGGCCTGGAATGGCTCTCTACCCTGCCTGCAAGTTGAGAGCTCAGTGGTTTAAATAATGGCCATTCTGCCAGGTGTGGTGATGCACACCTGTCATCTCAGCACTCGGGAGGCTGAGGCAGGAGGATCACTGTGAGTTTGAGAGCAGCCTGGGTCACAAAGTGAGTTCAAGGCCAGCCTGTACTGCATGGGAGATCCTGTCTCAAAAAGACACAAAGACAAAACAAAAACAAAAACAAAAACAAAAACAAAAACAAAAGACCATTCTAGATGTTCTGGGAAACTGCTTGGCCTCAAAATTTCTAAAAGCTCTTCTGGGGGTTCTGCTGTGCAGTTGACATTGAGAACCTCCGTGGGCCTGGCGTGTCTGGAATCCTGGGAGCATGGTGAAATTCCCCCTGGCACTCGGGGGGTCTAGCGTGGGATATGCGAGTCCAGCAGGCTCCCTGGGGATGCCCACAGCCTGACCTCTGGTGGTTCTGTATCTTTTTAACGTCCTGTCACTTGCACCAGCAAGCTGGATGCCAACGTTTTGTCTGCTTTTGCTTTTGCTTTGGTTCTGTTGATCTTGGAAATCGTTGAAATCCTCTCACCATCTGAATTCTGAGCCCATGTAGGGATGTGAGCCAAGCAGGGATCTTCCTGCTTGCAAAAAACAAAGTTGGGCTGTTGTGCAAGTTCAAGGCAGGCAGAGGCTGCTTTGCGCCGGGGATGGGAGGGATCCAGGTGGCTGAAAACCATTGGTGAGTGCCGTTCCTTTCCTGCGATGGATAGCAGTCCTCTCCTTGGTCCGCACCACGCCCCAAAGGCGAGGGCTGGTGATGCCCCAGTGTCCTGGGAGGGCGCCATGGCTTAAAGAGAGTCAGTTTCCCTCAGGGCCACAGCAGGTCCGGTGCAGTGGGAGTACCCACCAGACCCTGGGGTAGCAGCCATTGGGGTGGGGTGGGCCTTCTAGAGTCCTTCAAGCAGTCAGCCCAAGCTATATCTCCCCTCCTCTGTTCTCCTCCCTGGCTAGCGCAGAACAGGAGGGGACAGTTTCCATCCGGGTGAGGGCTGAATTTTGAAGCCAGACCTGCTTGTCCCTGTCACTTAACATCCATGGCTTGCTTACTTCGGCAGGGAGGGGCAGCCTGGCATCCTCGTCCTAAGGGTGGGCTTGGAGCTGTAAACCTAAAATCCCAGTTCTCCCTTTTCCCAGCCCCCTCTGAACCTCACCTTCCTCATCTGTAAAATAGGCCTAGCAACAGTCCCACCCTGGGGTGAGGACTCAGAGGGCGAGGACCTCCTCAGGCTGTGGCTACTCCTGGTTTGTTTCCACATCTCTGAGGACGACCTTACCTGTGAACCGGAGGAAACTGCGTGGGCCCTGACAGGTTGTTATGGCAACCAAATAAGAGGGCGCCTCTGAACAGGCTTTGTGGACACTTCAGGTTGGGGCAAAGTGTGACTGTAAGGTCACACAACTGAAGGAGGTGACACTTGGAATAGCCACACCTTCCCTCTGCGTGCACACACACACACACACACACGTCCCCACGTGCACATGTTTGTGCACACACAGGCAGGCACGCAGGTATGTGCACACAGACAATGCACAGGCACACACGTGTGTAAACATACACACACACATGCGTGCTGGCACCACTGCCCCAGCACCAGTGCCCATGTCGGGAAACCTCTGAGTGGCCTGACCCCTACTGGTGTCCCAGGGAAGTTCTCCGTTCTTATTTCAGTAGCCTCCCAAGAGCCGTCCCTGTCCCTGGGGCTGACTCAGGTGGAGTAGAGGAAGCTCAGGGACTCTGGCTTCTAGAAGTCTGCAGGGGGGAGGGTGAGCAGGGAAACCTGAGAGGCAGAGAGGGAGGGAGGGAGCTGGAAGGAAAGGAAACCTGAGTGAGCGGAGGTGACGGCAGGGCTGGCTGGGGCTGTCTTTTTTTTTTTTTGTCTTTTTCCTTTTTATCGGTACTGGGGATCGAACTCACGACTGCCTGCTTCCAAGGCAGGCGCTTATGCCGCTGAGCTAAACCTCCAGCCCCCTGGGGCTGTCTTTGAGGACGGGTGGAGTCACAGCTCGCTGGGGCAGCCCTGACTGAGCGACTTGTCAGGAGTTTATAGTTTATTTCCTTCCAGTGCTGGAGGTTGAGGTTCAGGCAGCACGGGTCACTCCGAGGCCTCTCCCCTTGGGTTGTGTGAAGAAGTGGCCTCACGTGTTGGTGTTGTCTGGATCCCAGTCCCTCATCTTAAGAAGACGCCAGTTGCAGTGTTATGGTTTCCCGGTCTCCCCATGACCTCATTTTACCTTGACATCCCCCTCGTAGTCTCCCAAAATCTCACATTCTGAGGTTTAGGACTTCACCCTAAGAATGCGGGAGGGTCACAGTACAGCCTGTAACAGGCAGCATGTCTTCATGTTTGTTCAAAATACTTATGCAAAATGCCAAAAAGCACACACAAAAAAAATCAGATCAAAACTACTTAGAGATGACCTTATCTGTGCAATCTTCCTCTTTTTTAAAGCCTATATAAACATGCTGAGAGGCCGAGGCAGGAGGATTGCAAATCTGGGCAATTTAACAACTTAGTGAGACCCTATCTCCTCCCCCTCCCCTAAAAAGGGACCGAGATGTAGCTCGGTGTGAAGACCTGGGGTCTAATTCCAGAGGAGAGAAAAGTAGAGCCTGGGTATCTTAGACATGAATTCCTAATTTACAGCCCCTGGCGTCCTGGAAGCTACTATTCTCGTGTCTCTGGTCACTCCGTATGCTCCCGTGGCAGTGCTGGCAGTGGGCACCCAGCAGTCAGGCAAGTGCATGTAACCCGCGGACAGCGGGACTGATTCCCGAAGCCTGAGGGGAAGAAGACCTGAGGGATGCCAGAGCTGCCAGCACAGCTCTAGTCCAGCAAAGCAGAACCAGTCAGGAGTTCTCAGAATCAGGAGGTCACATTTAGAAGACTGCGTGTTTTATTGGGGGGTGGTGTGGGGTGATAGACTGTGCAGGCGGGGGTGCTGGTACTTCTGAGAAGTCCCGAAAGCCTCCAAGAATGAGCTGTTCCACAGTTCACGCTGACTCAGTCCCAGCCCTATGGGCTCCTTACCTGAGATTTACCTCTGTTCAT